TTGAACTGGGGTTAAAGTTCAGTTGGATTGACTTTAACCTGGGGTAAAGTTGAGGATTATAGATAGGAATTGGGATTCAATTTGGGACTGAGTTAAGCTTATGCTTGGGGTTAGGTTACTATGACTGTTGGGTTGCTCTGAAGAGGAGCTATGTCTATGTGAGACAATCATCTCCATTGGTGGTGTCTCCCCTTGGTCATGATGGTCATCCTGGGTGGAGAATTCACCCAGCCCAGTGGTCCATCTTAGGTGCTAGTAGGATTCAGGTTCATCCCTGATCTCACTAACAGTTCTTGTTGGGCCCACCTAACCCCAGCCCCTTGTCTCACCCACCCTCTGTGTCCTCCCCAGACCATCAGTAATGTGCTCCTCCAGTATGCAGACATCATCTCCAAGGACTTCGCTTCCTACTGCTCCAAGGAGAAGGAGAAAGTGGTGACCTGCGGGGATCCCTGTCCTCTTTCCCCCAACCCCATTCTGTACCCCAGAGCATCCTTCCCTGGGCTCTGATACCTGTGTCTGCATGTATGTCCAGCTGTGTGCGTGCGTCTGTGTGTCTGACTGCGTGAGTCCAGGGGGATCTACAGGTGAGGGGACACATCTTCAGCGTGTCATCCTCTGGTGGTTGTGAATGAAGCCCTCAGGGAATATGTATGTGAGCTTACAAAGTTTTGAGCCCATGTAGAAGAATACTGGTGTGTGACAGGAATTCCCCTTTCTGCTACTCCCAGAGGTCCAGCCCTTCTGGACTTATCAGGTCCAGCCTACGCAGAGGGGAGGTTCTCCTTCCCCTTCTTGATCTCTAGAGATCCCCCAGAACTCCCAGGGACCTGATCCCAAATGCTGTCTTCCATGCTCAGATGACTTTATGGGACCCCAGCTTCCTCCAAACACAGACCCTGTAACCATCTGAGGTCCCTGGCAGTTGGGGGGTGGGTGGGGGAGGCCCTGGGGAGAGGTCCTGAGCCCTGACTCCCTCCTCTTTTCCCATCTGCAGCCCTGCATCCTCATGAATAACACTCAGCAGCTGAGAGTTCAGCTGGAGAAGATGTTCGAAGCCATGGGAGGGAAGGAGGTGAGCCAGGGTCTGGGCGGGGCCACTGTCGTCCCCATGTCCCTGCAGGCCCCAGAGCTCGCACCTGATGAATTCCAGCTCAGCGACTTCATAAGACCCAAGCAAGCAGCTTAACTGTCTGAGCCTCAATTTCCTCTCCAGCCCCTTTCCCCTGAATTGGATGGGAAAATGCCCCATCCACGCAGATGCCCTATGAACCTGACATGACGTCCCTTCTCCCTCCTCAGCTGGATGCCGAGGCCAGTGACATCTTGAAGGAGCTACAGGTGAAACTCAACAACGTCTTGGATGAGCTCAGCCGGGTGTTTGCTACCAGGTGGGGGCATCTCCAGAGCTGGGAGCAGAAGGGAGGGGACAGCCCCCAGCCTGGGGCATCTGGAGACTCAGCAGATGTAGTGGCGAAGACCTCAGGCCCTTAGGAGCTATACAAAGCTGAGTTCAAGCCTAGATTCCCTGCTTACTACTGTGTGGCCTTGGGTGAGTTGTTTAACTTCTCTGAATGTTAGTTTACCCATCTATAAAGTGGGGATGATGATAACAGTGTGAAAGTGTTGATCACTCAGTCGTGTTCAACTCTTTGTGACCCCATGGACTATAGCCTGCCAGGCTTCTCCGTCCATGGAATTCTCCAGGCAGGAATACTGGAGTGGGTTGCCATGCCCTTCTCCAGGGGCTCTTCCTGACCAAGGGATTGAACCCCGGTCTTCTGCATTGCCAGCAGATTCTTTACCATCTGAGCCACCAGGGAAGCTCAGATGGTAAAGATGATTAACAGTAGTACCTGAGTAGGACCATGTGATGAAATAAACATCACAGGTAAATACCTTAACCTGATGCCCAATTCTACTATTAAACCCCACTCCTGTTACATGCCGCGGCTCTCTGATGCTGGTAATAAAAGGTCCACAGATCAGCCTCATCCCGCCCTTCTTCCAGAGGCCAGGAAAGTCTAATCTGAGGTCCTCCTCTCTGTCCCCAGCTTCCAGCCGCACATTGAAGACTGTGTCAAGCAGATGGGTGACATCCTTAGCCAGGTGAAAGGCACAGGCAATGTGCCAGCCAGTGCCTGCAGCAGTGTGGCCCAGGATGCTGACAATGTGCTACAACCCATCATGGACCTGCTGGATAGCAAGTGAGCCAGGCTGGGTGGCCTGGGTCCACAGGGAGGGTACCCTTGGGGCTGGCCTGGAGAGGATACTCAGGGCATGCTTGCTGGGTGGTGGTTGAATGGTTTGGATGGGCGGGTGAGCAGAGGCATGAGAGATGGAAAGATGGGTGGGTTAATGATTGGAAGGATCAGTGGGTCAATATTTGGATGAATGGATGGTAAAAGACATGAGGGATGGGTGGGTGGATGGATGAGTAGATTAAAAGAAAAATGCTTCGAAAGCTATATGGAGAATATATGGATAAAAGGATGGATGGATAGATGGATAAATGGATGGATGGAGAGTTGGGTAAATATGTGGATGGATGAAGAACTGTTTGGAGGATGGGTATATGGATGTATGGGTGGGAGGATGGAAGAAAGGAACGAAGGGATGCAGGGAAGACTGGTGGTTGCTGCTGTTCATTCACTAAGTCACGTCCAGCTCTTCGGGACCTCATGGACTGCAGCACGCCAGGCCTCCCTGTCCGTCACCATCTCCCAGAGTTTGCACAAATTCATGTCCATTGAGTCGGTTCACTTTCTCTTCATTGTTTTCAATAAATTGATAGAGGAAGCATTAGGGTTGGGGGAAGGATGCTTTGGTGGAGGGTGGCTAAGTTGTTGGAAGGATCATGACGGATTGCCCTCTGTCAACCCCTCATAGCCAGTCATGAACTCTGTTGTTTTCCCTCTCAAGGTTGTCCCCTTCCCTAGCATTCCCTTCTTCTCCTGAGCATGGCCCCAGCCCCCTCGTAGCCCCTTGTCTCCAACCTTCCTATTCTAGTTCATCCCCCACCCTATTCGTTCAAATAGAAAAATCTGGCTGTCTCTCTCGAACACTCCACAGCTCCCCCATTGCCCTCCTGCTAAGGCCCAGGCCTTCCTCCTAGATTTTGAGGCTCCTTCCCAGTCTAGCTCCTGCTGATCTGTCCAGCTACCATTCACTCTTCCCCCTGGGCATCACACACTGCAGCCCCATCAGAGCACCTGGGGTCTGTGTACAGGCTCTGGACGCTCTTGCATGTCCAGGGCATGCCTTCCCACCTTGCCCATGTGGTGAGGGGACGGGGTTCCTCAGGCTGGGGCCACCTGGGCCCTTTCTCAGACCTTTCCCTGTCCCCCAGCCTCACTCTCTTTGCCAAAATCTGTGAGAAGACGGTGCTGAAGCGGGTGCTGAAGGAGTTATGGAAGCTGGTCATGAACACCATGGAGAAGACCATCGTCCTGCCACCCCTCACTGACCAGACGGTGAGGCCTGCCGGGGGCCAGAGGGGACCCCTGGGCCGCCTCCTCTGTGAGAGCCCAGAGAGCTTGATGTCACAGGCGCTGGGGGCTTAGAGGTCGTCCAGGCACAAGGGCCATTTGAGGGTCCACCAGAAGGTCAGTGGGACCTTTCGGAAATCAGAGAGGTCACACATGGGTGAAAGGTCATAAAGGGTCAAAAGGTCATTCAGGGGTTAGTTATTTAAGGGTCAAAGAGGTCAAGTGAAGAGACATCTAGGGGATATAGGGGTCATAGGAGGAACAAGTGATTATTTAAAGGTCAGAGATTACCCAGAAAATAGAGAGATCAGTGTGGGCATCAAGGCCATCCGTGGGTCACAGAGGGTATAGAGGTCAGTGGGTTCATCGGGGGCTGTGGAGGTCAATCAAGAGGCAAGTAAAGGAGATACCCAGATTTCAGAGCTCAGAGGCCAATAGAACAGAGCTCCAAGGGTCAGCCAGACGTTACAGAGAGCACCGAAGTTCACAGAGGTCAAGCAGAGGTCCGTGGTCATCTGGAGACCAGGACCGCGCCTCTGGGACTCCTCTGGGGGCAGCCAGAGATAGTGATCTGCAGTCAGGCTGCTGGGTAGGGGTGGAGGGACTGTCGTCTTCAGAGGGGTGTGGCTGGGTGTGGCTTCCCCCAGACAGGGGCCTAAGGACAGTGAGGGCATGTGGTTAATGGCCCAGCATAGAGTGGGAGGAAGTTTCTGGGTGGATGAGGGAGGCGTGGGAGGGGCGGCGGGGGCAGCCGAGAGGCAGTGATGGTGGGGGAAGCTGGGGACCTCCAGCTGCCCGCCCGCCCCCCTCCTCCCCTGGACTGGGCTGGGCTGGGACATGGGGTCCGCCCTTTGGTGCCGTCTCCGCCCCCTCCCTGGCTTTTCCGGGAGACTCATGGTGACTTATTCCCCCCTCCCCCACCGCCCCGCCCCCATCACGGCTGACAGATGATCGTAAGTAGAGGCCCCTCTGTCCGTCTGTCTGTCCGTCCGCTCTGTGTCTGGACTCGGCCCACCGCGTGGCTGCACCCCGCCCCCCCCCAGCGCCCCCTCCTCACCTACTGGCCCCCCACCCACTGTCCCACCTTCCGCCTAGATGTGCCTGTGTTTGTCTGGGGTGGGGCATGGGGAGGGGCGGGGCCGGGAGGGAGGGAGGCCACGCCCCACCCCGCCCAATTAAAAGTACGGGGGAGGGGCCTTCCGCCTTCCAAAACCCGGGTCCACCACCTTCACATCTGCTCACATGATTTAGTTAGAATTCACTCTTACTGCCATGCTGAGACGCCACCAGGATATCTGGGTCTCTCCCTGAAGCTAAAAGGTTGTTCAAAGTCAATGGAGCTTCTCTGACCTCACTTTTCCACTCTGAACTGTTAGTAACCGTACGAACTACACCCTCACCACCCCGGTTCCCAAAGCTAGCTGATCAGCCAGACCGCACCGTCACCCCTGCCCACCCGACTCCCACCACACATGCTAACACACAGGAATCCCAGACAGGCACCCAGGTGGGGACAATGTTGTGACTCCTTGGTGTCAGGCAGACTTGGCATCAAATCTCAGCCCAGCCGTTTTCTCTGTGACCTTGGGAAGTCCACCTCCCAGCCTCCATTTCCTTGTCTGGGGAAAAAAAAAAAAGAGGTTACTTGTAGCAGCTCTCTGAGGGGTGTTTTCAGAACCAAGTAGGATGATGTGTTCAAGTGCTCAACTCAATGACTGACTAAGGCAGTGCTTGCTAAGTTAGAGCTAATATTATTGGTGGTGGCGGTAGTATGTAGACACATAAAAGGGCAGAGATCAGTTAGAACCACTCTGGAGTCCTCTTTTGGGGCAAGACAAGGCTGTTATAAAATCTAGGGTTTGTTGAAAATTTGCTAGGGCTCATCTCACTTCTTGTGGTTGCAATCTGACTGTACCCACGTGGTGGCAGCGTGTCCAGCTACAGACAATGCATCTGTGGGTAGAGAGCTAAGGGAACATACATTTGTTGAGGATTTCCTGTATTCCAGACCTCACAGCTATTGTTTCAGCTCACCTTCATGACACCTGTTTGAGTGAGATAGATATGATTATTTCCATTTTACAGATGAGGAAAGTTGAGGCTCAAAGAGGAAGCGTCACTGGTCAAAGCCACATAGTAAACATATGCCAGGATTCAAATTCAGGTCTGTCTGAACGCCCATTTACTTTCCTGTCGACTCAAAAACCAAGAGCCTCATATATACAGTAAATATAAATGCATTCTATTTTGGCAGTGACTTCTCTCTCTCTGGCTCTGTATTTCTATTTCTCCTTCTCTCTCTCTTTCCTGCCTCTCTGGCTCTCACACCTTTTAAGTCAGTCATTAAGGCACACACATTATCCCCCCAGCAACTCTGTCACCAGCCCACTGTGCAGTGAAGATGCCCTTTACTTCCTATCCCCATGAGTATGTATTATCACCCTGGGTTCCCACCCCACACAGCTTGCTAGGTTGATCACCCTGTGACATTGTCTCTGCAGGGCACCCTCTTGAGAAAACATGGCAAGGGATTAGAAAAGGTAATGAGGGCCTCGCCTGTGCTGAGGTCCCAAACTCTGCTGTGTGGGTGTGTGTGTATATGTGTGTGTCCATTTGCATGGGCAGGGAGGTCAGCTGGGAGTTTCATGGGTAGGAGGTGGGTGCCCTAACCAAGTCCCACGAAACCAGGAATCAGGAACAAAGTGGTTCCCCAGGGACATGGCTTGGCGCATGTTTGTTTGCGCACAGACAGCCCTGTCCTCTCACAACACTGCCTAAAGGGCTAATCCTAGTCCTGGGCTCAACTGAAGTTCTTTGGCCTCTAGAAGGGCCCAGACACTGCACTGCCCTGGACTGAGACATGTTTTGCTCATTCTAACGGGTGTGTGTTGTAAGGAGATGGGCGCTGTGGTTGTACATGAACAGTTACCCTTGCTGTGCACCCATACGGGAGCTCTCGTGCCTGTGTGCACACAAGGTGTGTCTCCACTCCATGAACAGGGGTTGCAGGGCTTCCAACTCACCCATCAGCCCTTTGGAGGGCATGTGTGTCCAGTGTGTTCAGGCACTCTGCCATGTATGTGCATCCTGTGGGGGTGGAGAGTGAGTGATTGTGCACATGTGGGCAAGTGTTGAATAGTCTGTGTGTGTGTTTTAGCTCTTGAGTTCTTTTGCATGTGTGTGTGTCTTTGTATGTTGATCCAGGTGTGTGTGTACGTAAACTTTCTGCATACCCATGGATATGCCTGGGTGTGTGTCTGTGTAATGTGTGAACTTGTGATACTTGTGTTAGGATGTTTCTTTTAGAGTCAGACCTGCTGTAAGGTCTTGGGAGTTGAGGAAGGAGAGACCCCAAGCTCTGTCTCTCTCTTTTTCCCCCACTCCCCAAGGCACCCCATCTTGGGGCAGGCTGACTGTGGGATTGGATACCTGTCCCCAGGTGATGGGCTGATTCTAGCCTCCTGGCCGTTCAGAGTCTGACCCCTAATCCCCACCAGGGGCTGAGGGGAGGTGCCTAGGTGGGGAGGGGGTCCAGCATTGGACCCAGAACCTGGGAGGGAGGTTGTGGGCTGTGCGTTGAGGAGGGGCAGGAAAGCCCCACTGAATATCTTCTCAGCAGCAACCCAAACTCTGACCCTCACCTGATTCTCTCCACAGGGCAGGGTGAAATTGCCAAGCCACTCAGATGTAAGACCGGCCTCTCACTGTCTGTCTGGCTCCCACCCTCACCCCTACCCCCCACCCCACCCATGCCTCTTTCCACTTCTGTGATCCGTGCCGTCTGGGGGTGTACTGTGACCCTGTCTGTCGGTCTCTTCTTCCTCTGTCTGTCTGGCTTGCTTGTGAGGGGTGGCAGGGGCGGGTGGCAAGTGGGGAGGAGGGTGTGGCAGGGGAAACTGAGGCCCAGCCTGGGCTCCCGAGTAACTGTGCCTTGTGACAGCCTCGGGGAATCACAGACAAGGACTAAGAAGAGTAGCCACAGCCAGGATGATCATGCTAATACCACTAGTGTCAGGGTGACCGGATCCCACTGGCCAGCTTGGAAAAGCAGCAATGTGATTCCAAACATCCCAGCTGACAACGGCCCCCCTCCCCGCTTAGCCTTGCCCAGGACTCCCAGGCCACCCCAGGACCAGTAATTCAGGGCTCACAACCTCAGTGATACTCAGCCCACCCCCCAACCCCCCATCATCCCCTAGGCTAGTGTAGGTGCCCCTAGCGGCCAGGGGAGGAAACTGAGGCCCAGAGAGAGCTTGAGACATGTCTCAGTTCACCCAGCATCATGATGGGGGGCAAGGGGCAGGATATATAGCTTCCACGCCAGGGCCCCGTCTCCTCAAGCACTGCCCATGACCTTGACACTGAGTAATAATAACTGTGAACACTGAACAAAGACATGTTTAGTCCCAGCTAAGCCACAAATGGAATAGGATTTCCTCCATTGGAGATGGGAAAACTGAGGCTCAGAGAGGTTCAGTGACTTGCCCGGACCACACAGCAGAGCTGGGATTTGAACCCAGGCCCACCTGGCCCATCGGAGCCATAACCAGGATGTCATCTTGCTGATGTCTGGTTTGGGGAGGAATGGGAGATGGGTCCAGAAGTGGGTGTTAAGGGGGAGGATTCTTTCTTTAAAAGTTCAGGTTAACATTCCCCTACCCACCCCCTCAGATTACCGGGGAAGTTTTCCCACAGAGGGAATGGGCCCTTGGTGGGTGGTAGGTTTCACCAGAGCCCATCCCATGGTTTTCTCAAGGCTCTGTGACCCGGTTCTGGCAAGTCCCACTCATACCCATAAACATCAAGTTGGGCTTACCCCTCCCACTGCCCTGTTTTCTTCTCTGTGCCACAAACCTGGGGCCACAGTGGAGGTGGGAGGATGGGTAGTGCCCCCACAGCACTGAGATTTCTGGGGACAAGGTCACCATCTCCTCTTCAGCACCTTCTGGGGGCTCCAAACGTCTGTCCCTGGGATGCAACCTGGGGACAAGGGTGTCCAGGGCCTTTGGACAAGAACCAAGATGGCGTCCAGGGCTAGGGTGTCAATGGGGGCTTGGGCACTGAGCAGGAGGACCCCACCCTCACCGGGGTTATATCGGTTATTACCTACAGGGCACCCAGATGATCTTCAATGCAGCCAAGGAGCTGGGTCAGCTATCTAAACTCAAGGTGAGGCCAGGGTGGGGGGCAGGAGATTGGGGTGGGGGGCTTCCCGGGGAAGAGGTCTGAGAATAGTGGCATGCTTTGCAGGCTCAAAGGACAGAAACCCTATTCAGACTGGCTTAAGCACAATTTATTTGCTCAGTGTATTGCAAGGTTCAGCTTCAGATACAGCTTGATCGAGAGTAAAAAGAATTATTCAGCAAATGTTTATTGAGCATGTGTTGTGTGTCAGCCACATGCTAGACACTGAGCACAATGACAAAAAGAAAGACCCACTTGTCCAACTCCTTGGAGTTTATCGAAGATGAGACCCATAGATAGGCAGATCTCCAAGGAAGAGTTTGCACTGCCCATCTGGCCCCTCTCTCCATCCATCCAGGACCACATGGTACGAGAAGAAGCCAAGAGCTTGACCCCGAAGCAGTGTGCAGTTGTTGAGCTGGCCCTGGACACTATCAAGGTGAGAGGCCCCACCCCTGCCCATCCCAGGTGGGGCAAGCAGAGGATGTGGCTAGTGGGGACATGAATCTAGGCTGCAACCCACCTTAATCCATTCCATTTATAAACACTCCCTGATCACCCTTCTTTGTCAGGTCCAGGCTGGCTGGCGGCAGACCCCTGAGGACATCCCCAGCTCTGTGGGGTCAGGACAGGGTATTGGAAAGGATGGGAGAGTCCAGGGAGTGTTTCCTGGAAGAGAGCACATGGGAGGTGGAGTCTGAGGAATAGAAATTCACACCGCAAAACAAATAGAGCATTCTTAGGCAGGGAACCAGCCCTCGCAAGAACATGGAGACATGAAAGGGGCTGTGGTTTCCATGAAACAAAAAGTGTGAAGACTATTCTTGTAGAAGGAGATGTTTTGTTGAAATGGAGAATTACAGTGAAATATGGTTGGCAACATATTAAGGAGGGGTGGTTAAGGAAAACCCTTTGAAAACTTAATCAAAGACAGGGAGCCAGCCATGGCAAAATGGAAAATTAGGGGTGGGGACTGGGAGGACCTTCTCACCAGCAGAGAAAGTGCAAAGGCCCTGAGGCAAGGGAAGACTTTTGGAAAGAAGGTTAGGAGATTTCAGGTTAGAGCTGCAAAGGGCCTGGGAGGGGGTGCAAGACATGGGTGTTATTCTGAGGGTGCTGGTAGCCCACCTGTGGGTTTGGGGCAGGGGTAAGGGTGGGAGTAGCAGGACCTGGGTTTTTTGTTTATTTTAATATTTTTTTTTTTGTATTTATTTATTTGGGTGTGTTGGGTCTTACTTGCGGCTCGCGGGGTCTTAGGTCTTCAGGGCAGCATGTGGGATCTTTAGTTACAGCAGTGAACTCTTAGTTGCTGCATGTAGTACCTAGTTCCCTGACCAGAGATCAAAACCACACCCCTTGCATTGGGAGCGCAGGGTCTTGGCCACTGGACCACCAGGGAAGTCCTGGGACCTGGGTGTTCTGAAGACCCGCCCTGTCACCCCGCCCATCACAGTAGAGGGCAGCAGAGTGGGGGAGGGGCATTGGGGCTGCCCAGCCCGAAGGGCAGGTCGAGGGTCCGAGTCTGACCTCTTTCTACCCTGCTCCCCACAGCAATACTTCCATGCAGGTGGCGTGGGCCTCAAGAAAACTTTCCTGGAGAAGAGCCCAGACCTGCAGTCCTTGCGCTACGCCCTGTCCCTCTACACGCAGGCCACCGACCTGCTCATCAAGACATTCGTGCAGACGCAGTCGGCCCAGGGTAAGGAGCCGCTGGTTAGCGCGATGAAAATCCCGCCTCGCATAGGGGCAGCGCAGCCCCAAGCCCCTGCCAGGCGGCCGCCTTGGACGCACCTCCTCTGTGACGTCACGAGTCTGGGAAGAATTGACAGCTCCGGAGCGCACGTGAGCTCCATGATGTCACCGGGCCAATGAATGATCTACAGCTTGTAGGAGCCGGACCTCTGACGTCAGTGGGCTAGGAATGCATCTCCTGGGAAAACCCATGACGTCAGGGGGTCAGGATGTAATTGAAATCTGTAGAACGGGCCCGCTGTCCGCAAGGACCAGGGAGTGATTGACAGCTGTTAGGGGCGGAACCTCGACTCTGATTCCAGAGAGTGGTTGATAGCTTTACGAGAGGGACTTGTGACGGCGGGAGACAGTGATTGACCTCCCTGGCAGGGGCGGGATCTCTGACGTCACGTGGCCAATGGATGATTGGCAGCTCCAGGGGAGGGACCTCTGGACGAAGGGTTGAAAGTACCCCCGGGAGGGACCTCCGTACCGGTACCGTTGGGAGCTAAAGAGTGCCAGCACCAGAGATGGGAGGGACCCCGACCTGGAGGGGGCGGACGGAGAGGGAGTTCTTATTTCTCAAATTCTCTCTTTCTCTCTCTTCTCTTGCCTCTGTCTCCTGTCCATCTCTGAGTTCGCACACAGCAGCTGGGGCTGGGGGGCAGGACTCTAGGGTCCTAGTTCCCCTCCCTGAGCCCCTCCTTTTCCAAATTGGCCCTAAGAGTGCAGACACGGGCGAGAAGGTTGGCCGCTAACCCAGGCTTAGTACCGGCGGTGGAAGAGGAGGCTGGGGTGAGGGGAGCTAAACCCTGCGGCCACCAGCTGCCCCTTCCCCCCCAGTCAGCCCAGGGCTTAGGGCCCTCCCTGGGCGTCGGGCCTCTGCGCTCAGCTTCGTGCCCAGCCCACGCTGCTGCTTTTAGTGTTCCTGGTGTTCCCCCCGGAGCGGGAGGCTGTCTGTCTGTCCGTCTGCAGCTGACGTTTCTCTCTCTCTTGTTTCTCCTCCCTCTCACTCGCCGCCCCGTCTCCGCGCCTACCCTGCTCCCCGCCACGCACACTCGCCCTCCATCCTCGCCTCTCTCTCGCTCGCTCGTCTTTCCCCTCCCTTCCCGCTCCCCTCCTTTCTCCACCTCCCCACTCCCGTGATTAGTCCATGGTGGAAAAGGGACTAGGTTTACCCTTAGTGAAGACATTTATCCTGAGAAGGGTACGTGCTTCTGCCGCCCGCCCGCCCGCCCGCGCCCGGTGCCCGGTGCCTGCACCCCTCCTGGCCCGGCTAGTAAAAGGCCCGTCCTTCCGCCTCCCAGGCCTGTGGGACCCCGCCCAGGCCCGACTGGCTTCAGGGGTGCCTAGGCGGACCAGGGGGAAGGACGGCTTGCTGGTTCCACGTGGGGAAGGAGTAGCGATTCGAGTCGCAATCCGTTTCTCCCTAGGTGCTGCTCTTAACCCAGATCCCGGGTCCCCCAGACAGGCGCTTGCCCATCTCAGATTCCAGCTGTGCCACCCGTGGGTGGGCGCCTCCCGCAACCGGCTGCCTCCTTGAGCCTCAGTTTTCTCATCTGTAAAATGAGAACAGTCAAGGACCGTAATTCATAAGATTATTTTTAGGACTAGACGAATTAAATTTAGAGCAGTTCCTGACATGTACTAGCTGGCCGCAATTGTTAGTTGTATTATTATTGTTATTCTTTTTATTGATGTCACTTTTATGAGCAAAGAAAACGAGCATTTTTCAGGCTCTAACTCTGAGCTAGCCTTTGTGCCCAGCACTTCTTGGGATTCTAGAAGACATTCCTTTAGGTTGCCCCAAGGGTGATCCGTTATTCCACAGATGAGGAAGCTGTCTCAAAGGAGACTAAGCCCCTTGCCCAAGGGACCTTCCCCTCCAGGGGGCCTGGGACTGGGGGGTGGGGGTGGGCTGGGAGAATCACAGAGAGGCCTGGGAAAGACACTTCCCCTTGGAGCCAGCAAACCATGGGATGGGGGCGCCCAGCACTGCCCCCCTCCCCCTTCTTACTAGCTTTGGCCGTGATCTGACCCCTCACCCCACCCACCACTGTCCGACTCTCCCCTGGCACCCCTCAGTCTGGCCCGGATTGAGCTTGCTATGAAGCATCAGCCTGGGGTGGGGGTTGGGGGGTGAGGCTGAGCATGTGACTGGTTGGGGGGAAGTGGGGTGGGAGCCTGAGATGACAAGAAAGGCAGCCGTGGGTGGGTGGCAAAGATGAGGGGGTGCACACCCCAATACTGGGGCAATGGGGGTCTTCTGCCCCCTGAGCCTTGGTCACTAACTGCACAGAGCCAGGTAACCTGATCAACCTTGGACTGACCCGTTCTCCTAGCCCATCCCACCCCAACTTTCCCCCGTTCCTCCCCCCATGCATGTGATGCTCCAGGCGTGGTAAGCTTCCTCAGGGGCAGGGGAGGGGCCTGGTGGAGGTGCTGGCGGTCACAGGTCCCCAGGCCCCACAGGATGCCCTTCCCGAGAGTTACGGAGGGCTAGGGACAGAGGCTTTGAAACTGCTCCTTCAGTGATCCCCATCAGAACCAATCAATCAGGCTGCTTGTCGTGTCTGAAATTGAAAAGTACCTTACCTTGATTCAGGCAGACTAGAGAATTTGTGAGCTGAAAGCCTCACTGAAAAGCCTGTGGATTGAATTGCCATCAGTAATAGCTGGATCTAGAGTCTCCAACAATGCCAATGGTCATTGGTCTCCATTGAGACCTCTGTGGGATGGACTCTCCCTTCACTGGGCCTTGGAGCAGCTTAACCAGAGAGAGACTCTTTCCTAGGAGTTACAACAAAAGTCCTGGGGCCAGTTCCTATTGGCCCAGGTTGGGTCACATGACCATCCCTGAGCCAATCACTGCAGCCATGGCCGGAGAAGGCTCTGATTGGGCAGCTGTGGTTCATTTAGCCATACCCAAAGTGTGAGATGGAGCCACGTGGTTGATGGGGACTGAACCAGGATGGAGGCAGTGGAGATGGGCCAGAGTCTGGATGTATTCTGAAGGCAGACCTGGCAGCATCTTCCACCATACCAGTACTTAGTGAGGAAGTGAAAACAAAAAAGGGGTTAAAGGCTGAGGTACAGGGTGCCCCAACAGTTTGAAGATCAACAGAGGAGTAGGAAACGGAAAAAGAGGGTGAGAAGGAGAGACTGACTGTAAGATGAGAACTTGGAGAGTGTAGCCTTCTTGCAGCCAAGAGGAGAAACTGAGGCACAGAAAGCCAAAGTGTCAGATGCTGCCAAGATAGTGTGAAAGATGAAGACTGAGTCTGAGGACAGGGAATGAAAAAGAGGACATTAGGCTCAGAGAAGTTAAGAGATGCGCCTGAGATCACACAGCAAAGCAGTGAAAGGCCGAGGATTCCCGGCCTCCTTATGAGTACCCATCTTCCCAGCCTGCCCTCAGTGCCAACCTGTCATGGCTGATGACCTGATGCCGCCAGCATATGGTGGGTGGGAGGCAGTCCACGTCCTTTCTGGTGGGTGGGAAAGAATGAAGCTCACGCCAAGCATCCTCCCCTGCCCTGCCCAGGCTCGGGTGTGGAAGACCCTGTGGGTGAAGTCTCTGTCCACGTAGAGCTCTTCACTCATCCAGGAACTGGGGAACACAAGGTCACAGTGAAAGGTGAGTAGCCTGAGGTGGGAGGGAGAGTGCCTCAGCCAGGATGCACTAGATTCTAAGGCTGAAACCAAACTTAAATAGGCTTAAGGAAGAAATTGGGTGGTTTTTTTTCATTTTAAAAAATGTTTTCATAAAACTGAAATGTTCAGAAGTATCCACCTTCAGACACAGCTGGATCAAGAGGTACAAAAAGTGTTATAGGACTCATTCCACTTTCTCTACCACCTCTACTTTCCCGTTGTGGGTTTTAGTTTTCTCGTTAGAACACAGATTGGTCTGTTTTATCCAAGACCTAAAATAACAATGGCTTAAACAAGATATTAATAGATGGAATGAATCTTCCTCTGGGGTAACTCCAAGAACAATCAGCCCAGAACTGACGTGAGGGCTTCACAGTGGTGGGCATCCAGGCTCCAAACAGCTTTTGCTGTATTTTTATCTCTAATGTGTTTTCTTCCTCTATGAGGTCCCAGAGGACACAGCCCCCATCAGCTTCGCAGTCTGCAGCTAGGGAAGGAGAAAGTGTAGGGCATTCTCGCTGCCTTTAGGGCCTTCCCCGGCTGAAAGTTGTTTGCATCACTTCCTCTTACATCTCATTGGCTGGAAGTTAGTCACGTGGTCATATTTAGCTACAGAAGCATGCTGGGAAATGTAATCTTTCAGCCAGGCTTTGAAAACCACAGCTATGCACTGGGGGATCCTAAGCAGTCTTATCTTCTAATTCCCCCAACAGTGGTGGCTGCCAATGATCTCAAGTGGCAGACTTCTGGCATTTTCCGGCCATTCATCGAGGTCAACATCATTGGGCCCCAGCTCAGTGACAAGAAACGCAAGTTTGCGACCAAATCCAAGAACAACAGCTGGGCCCCCAAGTACAATGAGAGCTTTCAGTTGTAAGTCTGGGATGCTTTGGGGAGCACGACTAGGGGACATGATCCTATATGAACCTCAGGGCCCACTAGGCGGGAGGGATGTCTGGTGGACCGGTGGTTTCTGGGGACAGGAACAGGAGGGATCACATCGTAAGTGGGGATGCTGGGAAGGGAGGCACCTTAGTGCACGAGTGACACCAGGATGGAGGTGACCACCTTGGGGGACACACAGGTCGGGGTCGGGGACAGTGAGTATGATATAATAGCATAATGAGGGCTCATGAAGGGGAGAAGATGTCTGGCCAGAAGGAACATGTTGACCTGGGGCATTTCTGGGGCTAAAAATTCTGGTCTAAGAGGCGTGGGTGGTCATGATGAGGCAAGAAACTTGGGTCTGAGGGACTGAGGGGCATAGGGGTGTACCTCCTGGAGTCAGCAATGAGCTTTGTTGGTGCTACTGGGTAGGTCTAGGGGAAAGATTGGAATGTGGCTTGGTCCAGGGCATAGGGATATGTGTCATATGGGTAGGACTGAGATCACATCTAGATGGGGCTTTGCAACATGCAAGAGTAATCTTGGTCAGGGGCGTCAGGGATCTAGAGGAACAGATGATTTATAGGGAACATAAATAAGTCTGATCAAGGAATACCTGGAGTGAGGGAGAGGGTTGGCGGATCTTTGGATCATGTGTGAGCCTCACTGGGGCAGGGTAACATTGGGGAGGTGTTCTTGGGGGACAGAGTGCATCAGGGTGAGGGGGCATCAGAGCTGAAGGGAGGGGGCCCCGGAGGGACAGGAGCCTGGCCAATCCTATCAGAGAAGAGCTCCTGGTCAGAGGACTTTGGAGAGGTAGGTCAGCTAAAGCAATATTTGGGAACAAGAGCACCGCCTAGTAGGGGCAGATATCTCCTGGGGGTGGGCCCAAGTAGTTGAGGGCTAGGAATGCAGCCTGGGAAGGAGATGCAAGGGATCAGTGCAGGTGTAGCCGGAAAGAAGAGAGTTCTTGACTAGCCAGCATCAGGGCAGGACCCAGCAGCTGGAACTTTGTAACCTGGAGGAGGGGGAGGAGTGCTAGAGTGGGTAGTCACTCATGGTGAGACATCAGGGCAGGGTTATATGGAGAGGGCATCTTGGGGGTAAGAAGAGTAGGCTAGGGAGCATGGGGGAGGGGCCATGTCAAGGGGAGAATTTGGGTTCAGATGGGAGCCTGGTAAAGGGTCTTCTGGGTGTCACATCTGGGTCAGGGTGGTGGAGGCAGCAGTTCAGCTGTGGGTGTGGGTGGGGTATCACAGGGTGGGAGCATGGGGCTCTTGGGGTGAGGATGTGGCTTGGCTGGGGGCTGGGAGTAGTTTCATGGGGGCGTCCTTGAGTGAGGAGTGAGAGAAGGAAAGGTGGAGAGAACGGGCAGGGGTCATGCTAGGGAGAGGAGTTGTCAGCTGATGTGGCCATGGCCCAGCATGGGGTTGTGAGGCAAGACACCTGGGGCGGGGGCAGAGCCAGGCTTATTCTCTTGCAAGGTTATGAAAATCAGTTCAGTGCAGTATTTCAGTCGTCTCCGACTGCGACCCTATGGACTGCAGCACGCCAGGCTTCCCTGTCCATCACCAACTCCCAGAGCTTACTCAAACTCATGTCCATCGAGTCGGTGATGCCATCCAACCATCTCATCTTCTGTCGTCCCCTTCTCCTCCTGCCTTCAATCTTTATCAGAATCAGGGTCTTTTCTAATGAATCAGTTCTTCTTACTAGGTTATGAAAATAGGATCCCTCAATGTGGGCGTGGCCCAGCCTCAGAATGCCCGGGTGTGGGCGTGACCCGGTGGGGGAGGAGGAGTCACCGGTGGGCGTGGTTGGCCAGGGTTGGGGCGAGATCTGTCCTCACGCTCCGCCCTCCCGCAGCACGCTAAGCGCTGACACTGGCCCTGAGTGCTACGAGCTGCAGGTGTGCGTCAAGGACTACTGCTTCGCGCGCGAAGACCGCACGGTGGGGCTGGCCGTGCTGCAGCTGCGTGAGCTGGTCCAGCGCGGGAGCGCCGCCTGCTGGTTGCCCCTTGGCCGCCGCATCCACATGGACGACACGGGCCTCACGGTGCTGCGCATCCTGTCGCAACGCAGCAACGACGAGGTGGCCAAGGAATTCGTCAAGCTCAAGTCGGACACGCGCTCCGCCGAGGAGGGCGGTGCCGCGCCTGCCCCCTAGTGCGGGGCACGCAGGCAGGCGCCATTGCGCCTGCGCAGAGCGCGCAGGGCGGGGCGGTGCCTGCGCGCTTGGACCTCCCTGAGGGCGAGTCTCCGGGCTCTGAACGGAAGGCATCCTGCCTCTGCGCCTTTGATTTAGTTTCCCATTCTGGGGAAAGGTGAATGGCAACGCCCCGCCCCCTCAGGAGGTCTTGCGCCAGGGCAAGAGGAAGGAAGAAGCCACATCCCCCCTACTTGAGGCCACTCTCCCAGCGTCTAGGAGCTTTTCGAGCTGGAATGGGATGAAAACCAGCCCCTATAGAGGAGGCTAGGTCCCAGAGCTGTGTCACCTGGACGCCCTGCCTCCTGCCCCCACCCTGGAAAAGCCATAAGATGGGTCCCAACCTTTGGGGCCCGAGACCAATTTGCCAAGTATGGAACTCTCAGCTCCCTTGAGGGGCGGGCCTTGGGCAAGGGGCAGGGTTTCCTGGCACGCCCCCTGGGGTGGTGTGGAGACTGGAGGGGCTCGGGTGGTGGTTAGAGAGCCCCCCACCAAGGTGGACCAGAGTCCCTTTTGATGTTTGTGCGAAAAATAAACAGGGAAGGGGGGAGGATGGGATTTCAAAAGCACATGCGCTCTCGGGCGCCCAAACCCGGCCAAGGGGTCGGCTCTGGGGCATCCACGCTGCCCCAACTTCCCTACGGGGTTTTGCCTCCCCCTTTCCCCACTACATATCCAGTCCTTATATCATAGAGTTCAACCCACTCACTTGACAGATGGCAAAACCGAGGCCGAGAGCTGCTTAAGACAATGCCGAGGGTTCCGGTACCACATCCCCTCCCCATTCCCTTTGGCCTGTGTGCCCCTCTGAAGGGCGAGCTGAGATCGGATACCCCGACACAGCTCCCCATTGCTGCTAACCCCGTCGGGGGACTGCCCCCAACCCTCAAAGCGGTGGGGATTCAGGGCCAAGGCCCCAGTGCCCGCTTCCACCGCTGGCTGCCAAGCAAAACCCCTGCCTTCACTGCTTTCCTTTGGGACGACAGGGTTAGATACCTGAGAACTCTTGACCTCCCACCAAAAGAAAGTGAAGATACGGGATTCCCTGGACCCAGTCCCCTGCCCCAACCACTTCTTCCTCTCCTAGAATGCTCCAGTCAGGAAGGAACGGAAAGAGACCAGAGGCTTGAGGTGTGTGTGTGTGTGTGTGTGTGTGTGTGTGTGTGTGTGTCAGTGAATATACAAATTTGCTGGGGAGCTTTCTCCCCCAAAATTTCATTCATTCATTTAAACACGCAGGCCACAGGATACCCCATGTGGAGCCTCTAGCTGCCTGAAACTCTTCCTCCACCAGGGGTTTTGGGGCAGTTTGGCCAAATTTCTCCATTTTAACTCACACAGGCATTTTGGGAAAGTTTGGCATGGCTTGTCTTTGCCCAGGATCTGCTTTTTCACACTGGAACAGTATGTGTATACTGTGGGTTTTTTCCTGTCAGATTGATAAATAACAGGATTGTGCTGTACTAGGGAAAAATTTAAACAGAGGGATGAGAAGAGGGTTAACTTGGCTACTGGAGCGATGGGGGCTACCTCAGATGGGCAAGAGCCCTCAGATGCAGAGGGCTTTCTGCAGAGGTGAGAAGTGTAAAGGAACTACCCATTGGAGAGAAAAGAGCTCCAGGCAGAGGGAACTTCAGATGCAAAGGCTCGGAAGTGGGCTAACTTGAAGCATAGCCAGGTCAGGTGGCTGGAGCTGAGCCAACCAGTGGGGTGGTGGGAGATGCTGATGAGGTTGGGGAGGCCTGCAGAGGTCTCAGACCAGGTGGGATCTGGTAAGAAGCCCTGAGGAGTTTTGATTTTACCATAGAGGCTTGGGAGGCCCCAGGAGATTTTAAATCTGCGGAGAGTCTGGGTTTCAGGTTTTGACTCTCTCTCTGGCTACCTCATGATGAATGGACTGATGTGGTGGTGGGGGTGGGGATGGGAGGGAGGACAAAATACTTTCAGGACACTGGGATTAATTCTTGGAAAGATTTTGGAGGATATATTAAAAACTATGCCTTAGATGAGCCCGAGGTCTCCCTGGTACAGATGTTCTGGTTGTGCACTGCCCAGGGGTTGAGCATCTAAGGAGGCCATGTGCAAACTGAGGGTTGTATATTTATGGTAATGGTTTTCCCATCTGTGAACAAAGAGTTTGGATGAAGCCGCTCTTATTTCTAATTTACCTGAAAGTATTTGTGTGTCCCCTAAATTCCTTGGTGGCTTGAACTGTAAAGAATCCACCTGCACTGTGGGAGACCCGGGTTCGATCCCTGGGTTGGGAAGATACCCTGGAGAAGGGAATGGCTACCCAGTCTAGTATTCCTGCCTGGCAAATCCCCTGGACAGAGGAGCCTCGTGGGCTGCAGTCCATGGGGTCACAAAGAGTCGGACATGACTGAGCGTTTGAGTGTGTGTGAATTCAGGCAGTTTCACATGACTGACGGTTCAGAATTAGAGATTAGGACGAAAGTTCTCATTCAGGATGGTGGGGCAGGAGTGCACCCCCCACCCCCACCCCAGGGACAAGGGACAGGCTAGAAGGTGTCTTGCGGGGAACTTGAAGTCTCCACTGTGAGGCACAAGAGGGAGATTTGAACTTCAGACCATCCAAGAGGTGGAGGTGGGCTGGATGGCTGACTTGGAGATGAGGAGAGGAGCAACATCCAGAGGGGTGTTAATCTGTGATTTGGAGTAGGCTCTGAAAGACTTTTTGAATGACTGGCAGGAAAAGGCAGGGGGAGCTGAGCTTCTGCCAGAGAAAGCCAAGATGTTTGCCAAAAGCTTTATTGGGAGGTGCTCTGGTCTAGGGGTGTGTGAGTGAGTGAGTGTGTGTGTGTGTGTGTGTGTGTGTATGTATGAGGGTTCCCCAGCACTGGCCCAGGCACATGGAGGGAGCCTCAGGGAGTATTTGTCAAATGACATTTTCTGACTCCCAGGCTAAAACTGTTTGGGAAATTTTCTCCCTCTTCTTTCCCCCAGAGAACTCCTAGTCATCCCTCAAAACTCATCACAAATATTCCCTTCTGTGGAAAACCTCTGATCCCCCTCAGGACTTCCCCAGCCAGTGTCCCTCCTCTGTCTGCCCCTCCCCCAGCCTCTGTCTCCGATGCCATGCGGCTGAGGGTATCTGTGAAAGGCTCTCTTTCCCCCCAAGATGGGGCTCTGAAGCCCCCCAAGAGCCCCAATTTCAGTGAGCAAAGGCTGGGCCCAGGTGGAGTGTCAGGGAGGGGATGTCTAATTGAATGATGTCTCAGGCAGGGAGTTTGTGTGCCCACACGTTCACGTGTCTGTCCATACCAACCTTCCCCTCCCACACAGATCTAGGCACCCAGGAGGTATTCCCAGCAGACTGGCTGAGCCGCAGGGCAGTCAAGAGAAGACAGAGGGGACTGGAAGTGTTTGAAATCAGAACGCTCCTCTATGGGAACGACAAGGCTTAGAGAGGAGCAGCGCTTTCCTCAGGGCCACCCAGCATTGGATGATGCCTTTGGGCTTCCACCGTTTCACCTGGGGTGCCTGGGGTTCTGAGCGCAGGTGGGGTCCTGGCATTGCATTTGGACCTTGCTCCATGCGGGGAACTTGCCCCAGATTTTCATGGATCAAGAAAAGGATAAAATAGGCTTGTAGTGGGATCGAGGTGGGGGGTGACATTGAGGGACATAGCCAATCCTCCCTAAAAAGGGAGGAGACAGTAAGGACCCAAAGAAGAGAAGGGAGGGAAGGAGAGAAAAGAGGGGTGGGCAGACAGACAGGAAGAAATCAAGAGGATCAGATCGTGCCCAGATGGGAACAGCCAGAATTTTGAAATGAAGAGAGCGATTCAGAGGTGGGGCTGCAGGGACAGGAAAGAAAAGGCAAAAACAGAGAACTAGAAGGAAGAGGGACCTCCTTGCCCTCTCCAGTCTGTCCTCAAAAGATTTACCTAAAATAAGGAGGTGCCCAGTTGCATCCCCCAATCCTGGTTCTCCGGCACTACATCCTGAAACCTCACCGTGCCCTCATCAGAGATGCAAAAAAAAAAAAAAGACTTAGCCAACTAGAAATCCTTGGGACCTCTCTCGGCTGGGACCTCAGAGACCTTTCTGTCCTTCACCCCCAGCAATGTCCATCTTACAGGTGGGAACACTGAGACACGGGGGGCAGAGGGGAGACAGCCCAGAGTTGCCCCAGTTCTGCTGCCCAGGCAGAGAGGAAGGGGAACTCACTGCGGAGCTGCTCTACATCATGACCCCTGCTGTCCCCTGAACATCCTTTCCTAATAATTGTCGAGGACCAAAGTCATTTTCGCTGACACGTGTTGCTTTTCTCTTTGCCTTTTTTTTTTTAAAGAGACAAATCAAGTTGACAGTGTCAAGTAAGACCCCCTCCATCTGCCCCCCACCCCCCGCCCAGCCATAGTGACTCTTGTGCGAGGCACAGGTCACTGGCGGACGGTCCCTAGGCATCCCTGGCTACACAGTCAGGGAAACTCAGACCCCACCGCTGGCCCCGGCCCCTTGAGACCCTGAAACCTGGCCACGCAGTCCAGGGAGGTTCTTCCTCCACACACCTTCTCTTAGCATGTGATTGCAAATGTGAACTCAAAATGCTGTTTGTCTGTTTTAATTCCATCCCGTCAGTCTGGCATCTGCACAGATGTCCCCATTTCTCTGTAAATATTGGAACAAATGTTTAAAACCAATGAGAAGTGGTCATGAATGCATGGTGTTGAGATGTTTTGCACTATTCTGACTTTTTGGTCTCTGTAAAAATATTTTATTAACAGCAGACATTAAAAGAAGAAAAAGCACACAGCCTCGGGTGCGTGGTGACCTCCTTGCCTTCCTAAATTAGCAAAAAAATCACATAGCACCTACTGTGAGTAGCCACTGTTTAATATACTTCCCACCCACGAATGCAAATCATTACAACTACCATGGTTCCATTTTACAGAGAAGAAAGCAGGTCCAAGGAAGGGAGATATTTCGGAAGGGATGGAGCCAGGATCTGAACCCAAGATATTGGGCAACTGTCGCTCTTTGCTCAAACAAGTTAAAACACAAATGCCAGGGATGCAGTCAAATTCCACCCACTCACCCTTGTTTGGAAGTTTTTCTGTTTTGTTTTTTGATGTAACAGGTGATAATCTCATGTTTATCAACTTGGATGGGCAAAGAATGAAGCTTCATTTTTCTATAGCTGAGTCTGACTCCTCTGTTGATTCCCCCATCCCACAAGGGAGCAGAAATGGAATCTTACTCAACTCAGGGTTTCCTCGGTAAAGTCTGGAGATTCCTCTTGAGGTTTCTTCTATAGGTTTCCTCCTAAGACCTGGAGTTGTTTCTCCATTCGAGTGGCCAGGGCAGGGGCTGTGGGATCCACCTGTGGAAGTGAGTTTGATAAGTGCATTTGGCTGCAAGTAACAGTCAGAAAGGTTAAAAGTAAGGGACTTCCCTGGTGGTCCAGCAGTTAAGACTCTATGCTTCCACTGCAGGAGGCATGTGTTTGATCCCTGATTGGGGGACTAAGCATCCTGCATGCTGCATGCAAAAAAAAAAAAAAAAGGGTAAAATATAAAAAAGTGGCTAAACCGAAGGGGTAACCCATAGCTCGGTAACTGTCCTCAAGAAAGTCTTGCATGTGGACAAGATTGGAAGCAGCGTCAATGACATGGTATCTTCACACAGTGGGGGAATACTATACAGCTATGAAATGGATAAAGCACAGGTATCTGCGTGACCTCTGTGGAGGCAGCCTGCAGGTTCTGAGCACCCTTAAGTTCTTTTTTAAAATTCTTTTTTAAAAATTTATGTTTTTTAAAAATTATTTATCTATTTGGGTAAAAGACTCCTTACTTCTATTTCTGCAGACTCCACCTGGCTTTCAATTATTTCAATACGTTGTCTTTTGTGGTTCTTCACTTATAACAGTTTCTTCAGCAATGTCCTTTGCTGGTACTGTTAATACTTGTTCTCCATCTGGCATGGTCACAATGATGGCCTGACCTATTCCACTTGTTTGAATGGAGTGCAAATTTCCAAGCTGAATTCCATCTGTACTATTGTGATGACATGAGGGATTTTTGGTCTTTGTTACATCATGCTGGTTCCTTAGTTGTGGCAGGCAGGATCTTTTAGTTGTGGCATGGGGAATCTCTAGTTGTGGCACTCAAACTCTTGTGGCATGTGGGATGTAGTTCCCTGACTAGGGACTGAACCTAGGCCCCCTGCACTGGGAGCTTGGAGTTTTAGCCACTGGACTACCAGGGAAGTCCCCCTGCAGGCTTTTGCTGACTGTGCTAGGCTGCAGATCCGTCCTTCTCCCAAGACCAGACAGTTTCCATAGCTTAAGTACATAGGCTACACAACATGACTTTCTTTTCTTCTTAGCTGGGCCACGAGGCATGCGAAGTCTTAGTTCCCAGACTAGGGATTAAACCCGTGCCCCTCCAGTGGAAGCACAGAGTCTTAACCACTGGACTGCCAGGAACCCCCCCACCCAGCATGACTTCTGTGTAACTGTTTCATCCCTGACAGAGGGAAGCCAGCTGGTACTGCTTTGTACAAAAGGTGTTCAGCTCTTGGCCCTCTGCCTCTCAGCGTGTGAGGTCCATCGTGTCACCTAGGGGGCGTGGGGACTGAGGCTCATGATTGCTGAACTGTGAGATATAAACTTTCTTGCTATGATGCAGTGAGTCTCACAGTTGGCTCCACACCAATGGATGAAGGACAGGCTTATTTCTGCCATTCTCTGGGAAATGAGCTTCTTCATTCTGACAAATGAAAGAAGTGTGATGGTGGGTGAAAAAAAAAAAAGCCCTAGAAGGCTTCAAAGAGCATGACACTACATTTATAAAGCTGAAAAGACCTATCAGGTACACCCACGGAGATTTTGTTTAGGGATAATTAAGGGTGATTAATAAAATATGATAAGCACAAAACTTCCCCAGTGGCTCAGTGGATAAAGAATCCATCAGCAAAGCAGGAAACATAAGAGACATGCATTTGATCCATGAGTTGGGCAGATCCCCTCGAGAAGGAAATGGCAACCCACTCCAGTATTCTTGCCTGGAAAATCACGTGGACAGAGGAGCCTGGCGGGCTACCGTCCAAAGGGTCACAAAGAGTTGGACACAACTGTGCCACTCAGCACGGCACACAGCAAGGGTTAAAGAAATGAGAATCCTACCGTATATACATTGGCTGTTATCAAAACGCAAGACAAAACGGAAAACAAGCATTGGTGACCATGTGGTGAAGTTGAAACCTCTGTGCACTGTAGGTAGGAATGCAAAATGATATACCTGTTGTGTTCCTCAAAAGATTAAACATGAAATGTAAATTGGTGTAGCCACTATGGAGAAGAGTATGGAGATTCCCTTAAAAAAACTGAACATACAGTTGCCATGTGATCCTGCAATCCTGCTTCTGGGCATATATCTGGAAAAACAAAACTCTAATTCAAGAAGATACCTGCATTCCAGTGTTCACAGCAGCACTATTTACAATTGTCAAGACATGGAGAAATAGCAACAACCTCAGATATGCAGATGACAACACCCTAATGGCAGAAAGCAAAGAGGAACCAAGGAGCCTCTTGATGAAGGTGAAAGAGGAGAGTGAAAAAGCCGGCTTAAAACTCAACATTCAAAAAACAAAGATCATGGCATCCAGTCCCATCACTTTATGGCAAATAGATGGGGAAAAAAGTGGAAACAGTGTCTGATTTCACTTTCTTGGGTTCCAAAATCACTGCGGATGGTGATGCAGTCATGAAATTAAAAGACACTCGTTCCTTGGAAGAAAAGCTATGACAAATCTAGACAGCACATTAAAAAGCAGAGACATCATTTTGCTGACAAAGGTCTGTATAGTCAAAGCTATGACTTTTTCAGTAGTCATGTATGGATGTGAGAGTTAGACCATAAAGAAGCCTAGGCGCCAAAGAATCGATGCTTTGAACTGTGGTGTTGGAGAAGACTTTTGAGAATCCCTTGGACTGTAAGCACATCAAACCAGTCAATCCAAAAGGAAATCAACCCTGAATATTCATTGAAAGGACTGGTGCTGAAGCTGAAGCTCCAATAGTTTGGCCACCTGATGTGAAGAATTGATAAAGACTCTGATGCTAGAAAAGATTGAGGGCAAGAGGAGCAGGGGGCAACAGAGGATGAGATGGTTGGATGGCATTACTGACTCAGTGGACATGAGTTTGAGCCAACTCCGGCAGATAGTGAAGGACAGGGAAGCCTGGTGCGCTGCAGTCCATGGGGTCACAACGAGTCGGACATGACTTAGTGACTCAACAACAACAAAAGACGTGGAAGCAACCTCAGTGTTCATCAACAGATAAGTGGATAAAGAAAATGTGGAATATTAATAAGCCATGAAAATAATGAAATAATATCATTTGCAGCAACATGGATGGACCTAGAGATTATCATACCAAGTGAAGTAAGTCAGAAATAGAAAGCAAATACCACACGGTATATGGCCAGTGATGATGGGGAGGCCAGATAGCCCTCTGCTCCTGGGCATCCTTCAACATCGATGGGCTCCAGCCAACAATGCCAGCATGGTCTTTGCTCAGGCCCCGGGGCACCATGTGGGCCAACACCCAGCAGCCTGTGAAGGTTTACACACTCAGGAGGACCAGCAGCGGGACAACCAGGGTTCCAGGCATGTCCTACATGGAGCAGCTGAATGCCATGTCCCTGCCAGTCAGGGCCTGACAAAACTTGGTCCACTGGAAAAGGGAATGGCAAACCACTTCAGTATTCTTGCCTTGAGAATCCCATGAGTAGTATGAAAAGGCAAAAAGATATGACATTGAAAGATGGACTCCCCAGGTCATTAGGTGCCCAATATTCTACTGGGGAAGAGCAGAGAAGTAACTACAGAAAGAATGAAGAGGCTGAGTCAAAGCGGAAACAACACCCAGTTGTGATTGTGTCTGGTGGTGAAAGTAAAGTCTGATGCTGTAAAGAACAATATTGTATAGGAAACTGGAATGTTAGGTCCATGAATCAAGGTAAATTGGATGTAGTCTAATAGGAGATGGCAAGGGAATCAGTGAACTAAAATGGATGGGAATGGGTGAATTTAACTCAGATGACCACTATATCTACTACTGCGGGCAAGAATCCCTTAGAAGAAATGGAGTAGCCATCATAGTGAACAAAAGAGTCTGAAATGCAGTACTTGGGTGCAATCTCAAAAATGACAGAATGATCTCAGTTCCTTTCCAAGGCAAACTGTTCAGTATCACAGTAATCCAGGTTTATGCCCCAACCACTAATGTTGAAGAGCTGAAGTTGAACGATTCTATGAAGACCTACAAGACCTTCTAGAACTAACACCAAAAACAGATGTCCTTTTCATCATAGGGGACTGAAATGCAGGAAGTCAAGAGATACCTATAGTAATGGGCAAGTTTGGCCTTGGAGTACAAAATGAGGCAGGGCAGAGGCTAACAGAGTTTTGCCAAGAGAATGCACTGGTCATAGCAACGCCCTCTTCCAAAAATGTCTTCCAAGAGACGACTCTACACATGGACATCACCAGATGGTCAATACCGAAATCAAATTGATTGTATTCTTTGCAGTAAAGATGGAGAAGCTCTATATAGTCAGCAAAAACAAGACCGTGAGCTGANTGAGCTATTTCAAATCCTAAAAGATGATGCTGTGGAAGTGCTACGCTCAATATGCCAGCAAATATGGAAAACTCAGCAGTGGCCACAGGACTGGAAAAGGTCAGTTTTCATTCCAATCCCAAAGAATGTTCAATGCTAAAGAATGTTCAAACTACTGCACAATTGCACCCATTTCACATGCTAGCACAGTAATGCTCAAAATCCTTCAAGCTAAGCTTCAAAAGTATGTGAACCAAGAACATCCAGGTGTACAAGCTGGATTTAGAAAAGGCAGAGGAATCAGAGATCAAATTGCCAGAAAAACATGTATTTCAACTTCATTGACTATGCCAAAGCCTTTGACTGTGTGGGTCACAACAAATTGTGGAAAATTCTTCAAGAAATGGGAATACCAGACCACCTTACCTGCCTCCTGAGAAACCTGTATGCAGGTCAAGAAGCAGCAATTAGAGCAGGACATGGAGCAATGGACTGGTTCAAAAGTGGGAAAGGAATATGTCAACGCTGTATATTGTCAACCTGCTTACTTAAATTATATGTAGAGTACATCTTGCAAAATGCCAGGCTGGATGAATCACAAGCTGGAATCAAGATTTCTGGGAGAAATATCAATAATCTCAGATATGCAGATGACACCACCCTAATGGTAGAAAATGAAGAGGAACTAAAGAGCGTCTTGATGAAAGTGAAAGAGGAGAGTGATAAAGCTGGCTTTAAACTCAACATTCAAAAAACAAAGATCATGGCATCTGGTCCCATCACTTCATGGCAAATAGATGGGGAAAAAGTGGAAACAGTGAGAGACTTTATATTCTTGGGTTCCAAAATCACTGCAGATGGTGACTGCAGCCATGAAATTAAAAGGTGCTTGCTCCTTGGGAGAAAAGATATGACAAATCTAGACAGTGTATTAAAAAGCAGAGACATCACCTTGCCCACAGTGGTCTGTATAGTCAGCAATATGGTATATATGTGGAATTTACAATATGAAAGACATAAATTTATTTACAAAAGAGAAATAGGCTCAGATACAGAAAACAAACTTTTGGCTACCAAAGGGGAAAGGAGGGTATAAATTGATAATTTGGGATTAAAAGATACATACTACTATATATAAAAAAGATAAATAACAAGGACCTACTGTATAACACAGGGAACTATATTCAATATCTTGTAATAATTGAAAAGAATCTGAAAAAGGAATATATATGTATAAATATGCATATAACTGAATCACTTTGCTGTATACCTGAGATATTCTAAATCATCTATACTTCAATTAAAAATCAAAAATAGAATTACCAAATGGTCTAGCAATTCCACCTCTTGGTATATGCCCAGAAGAATAGAAATCAGGGTCTCAAAAAGGTATTTGTACACCCATGCTCATAGCAGCAT